TAGAAGAAAACAGGCAAAAATCTCTTGAATATAAACATGAACAACTTTTTCCTGAACACATCTCCTTAGGCAAGGGAAACAAAAGCAAAAATCAACAAATGGGACTATTACATCATGCTAAAAAGCTTCTGTACAGCAAAGGACACCATCAGCAGAACAAAAAGACATCCTACAATATGGGAGAATATATTTGTTAATGACATATCCAACAAGGGGTTAACATCCAAAATGTATAAAGAACTCACATGCCTCAACACCCAAAAAACAAATAACTGTATTGAAAGATGGGCAGAGGATATAAACAGAGAGTTCTCCAAAGAAGAAATTCAGATGGCCAACAGGCACATGAAAAGGTATTCCACATTGCTAATTATCAGGGAAGTGCAAATTAAAACCACAATGAGATATAACCTCCCAGTTATGATGGCCAACCCCGAAAAGACTAGGAATAACTAATGCTGGTGAGGATGCAGGGAAAGGGGAACCCTCCTACACTGCTGGTGGTAATATAAACTAGTTCAACCATTGTGGAAGGCAGTATGGAGGTTCCTCAAAAATCTTAAAATAGAAATACCATTTGACCCAGGAATTCCACTCCTAGGAATATACCCTAAGAATATAGGATCCCAGTTTCAAAAACACATACGAACCACTATGTTTACTGCAGCACTGTTTACAATAGCCAAGATAATGGAAGCAACCTAAGTAGATGAATAAATAAAGATGTGGTACATATACACAGTGGAATATTATTCAGCCATAAGAAGGAAACAAATCCTACTATTTGCAACAATGTGGATGGAGCTAGAGGGTATTATGCTCAGTGAAATAAGCCAGGCAGAGGAAGAGAAGTACCAGATGATTTCATTCTTGTGTGGAGCATAAGAACAAAGCAAAAACTGAAGGAACAAAACAGCAGCAGACTCACAGAACCCAAGAATGGACTAACAGTTACCAAAGGGAAAGGGACTTGGGAGGATGGGTGGGAAGGGAGGGATAAGGAGAAAAAGAGCTACAATTCGCACACATAATTTGGGGGTGCATGGGTAAGGTAGTTCAGCACAGAGAAGACAAGTAGTGACTCTAAGGCATCTTACTATGCTGACAGACAGTGACTGTAATGGGGTATGTCGTAGGGACTTGATAATAGGGGGAATCTAGTAACCACAATGTTGCTCATGTGATTTTATATTAAGGATACTAAAATTAAAAAAAATACTAGTCACCATTTTATATCTATTAAGATCACAGAACAGATTTAATAGTAACACCAAATTCTCACATCCTGGTAAAGCTGTACTCATATACTAGAATACCTTTTATAAAGTGTTTCTAGAGCTAAAATAAATAAAATTCCCTTCAACCCCCCCAAAAAAATGTCACTGTTGGAAATGTAACTCGTGGGAATGGCAGTGGGGTGATGCCTGTCCCCTGGAACACATTATGGGTCTGTGGACACCCTAGTTGGCCCTACCTTCCAAGGAATTGGATGGGCACTGTACTTGGGTACCCCATATTTACCAGCCAGTGAAGAAAACTCTAGGCAGAAAACTCACAACTGGGAAAAGATGCATGCTAGGTATCATGTAAGACAGACACCCTGGTGGTATTATCCTCTAGCTGTGTTTTTCCCGGAAAGGTGCGGCTATTCTGTTAGACAGAAATCACACTTTGGCCTTGCGTACTGCTCAGGCCTTAAATCATACCTATCAAGCATTATCCATGAGAAATTATGGAAGTTTACCAATGCAAAAGGTAGTGCTTCAGATTTGTATGGCCTTAAGATTTATTGACAGCAGCCCAAGGAGGGGTATGTGCCTTAATTCAGACTGAATGTCATGTTTATATCCCTGATAGTTACCAAGTTAGTCAGGCACTCCAGCATATATAGCAGGAAATACATCAAGTCCAATGCCTAATGGGTGACCCCCTACAGGAATGGTGGGCACAACTGAGGACAACATGGCATTTGCTGTTTGGCATTCTTGCCGGGGGAGCTTGTCTCTTAGTAGCATGTTGCTGCAGTTTATATTGTTGCTGTGGCTGGTGGGCCCAAGGGCTCAGCCCTCCTTGCCAAGAGATCATCCTGGAAGAATTCCTCTGCCTAGAGTGTTAAGGTGAGGAGCCCTGAAGGGATGGACTGTGGGGAAAGTGGACAAGAACACGGTGCCTGTCAGGCTCCCTCACACGGGATATCAGGAGAGGCATGACTCAGTAGTATGTTACCTTGCTTGTACTGTGCATGACAGTAAACATGTGCCTAATGACCCTGGGCCAGCTTTGTTCTGGAGCCCTGTAGAAGGCTGCCTGGAAAGCTTTGCTGCTGCTCACCTGAATAAAGGCATGGTCATGGTCCCCATCTGTGCCTTAGTTATTCTTTGGCCTTCCTGAATCAGTTTATCCTTCCAGTGCAAATCACCTGCATTTCACATTTTAAAACTTCTGATGTTAGACAACCAAGATTAGGTATAACAGTGAAACTTAACCTTAGGTCAAAGTGCATTTTTATACCACTTCAGATATCTTAAAAAAAATGTTTCAATCAAAGTTAGTTTAGACAGACTTTTTCTAACAGGTGAGCAAACAAACAAACAAACAAAAAAACACCCAGAAAAACAAAAAACCTTCCATACCTCAATAAAACTTCAGTAACAATAATGATATAATTTCCATAGAAAGGAAGTATGTATAGTGTTGTGTGCTGTCTGAATCATACTGCCTGGTCTTATCTACCATTTCCTGTGTAATTTCTAACTCTGAGCCTGTTTCCTCTTCTGCAAAGCAGTTTTAAAAACTGTGCCTCTCTCACAGGGTTTCTGTGAAAATCAACTGAGATAATGTACGTAGGTTACTTACCATGGTGTCACACATAGTACCTGTTACCATACATTGAGAACAAGTAGGTCCTTAGACTTAATGGTCACATATGAAAGATTATTGATCTACACAGGACTTACTAGATATGGTTGTCAGAAAAAAAAAATTGTGATAGTAATGAAAATATTCATGATAACTTAATACCATTTCCCTAATTTTCAGCCTTAATATTTCCTGAGGATACAGAATCAGACACAAGAAATCTGTTTTTCACTGAATTCTTTTGCGATCTCTTCTATCAGATAATTACCAGTGGCACCAAGTAAATGAAGATGGAAAAATACTATGAATACATTTGATATACATTTTTGATGCCTATGTTCTTAAATGATGGTTAGAATTTCTTTACATAATTAAAATAGGATGGAAATTCTGGCTTTTACTAAAATATTTCCCTCCAATTACTGTGAAAAAAACTCCAAACACAAAAACCAGGCATAATTCCAGGTTATATAATTTTATAAGTTCCAAAATCTTAAAATAAAAACCCACCTAAGTCTACATTCCTCTACAGCTACTGCACTTCTCTGCTAACAGCAACTTTTCAAATAAATTGACTGCACTTGTCATTTTTTACCCATCACCTCTTATGAGATATTCAATTTTCACCCCTTCACTTACTTAAAAATGTTATTGTGCAACAATCTTATGTTTCTAAACTCAACTGACACACCTGTCCTCTTTTGCCAGTGCCCCCTGTAGCATTTGGTACTGACTCCCCTCTTTTCCTGGTTCCTGTACCACATTCTCTGGATCCCTGCATTCCCCCTTTTATCTGCTTTTGACTATTTCTCTACCCCTGACCTCTAAATGTTAACTAGTTGGACTTCTCTGCCCATACGCTTCCCTGGGGTGATCTCAGCTACTGTAGACTTAAAATACCACTGGTCTACTACTGACTCCCAAACTGGTACCTAATCCTCTTCTCTGAGCCGCAGACATACAGCCCATCATCCATTTGACATATTTACCCAAAATTCTCAACACCTCAAATTTAACTTTCCAAAACAGAACTTTTAATTTCCTCCACTTTCCCAAATCTATCCTCCCATTACATTAAGTCACAAACAAGATGTTACTGTCAAGCATAGCTGCCGCTTCTAGGTTGGCTGTACAATTCCATAGATTTGGCCAGTAGGGAGGTATGAGATTAAATGGATTTAGACAGTTTATTACTTACACAAATAGCAAAAACAAGGTCAGCATGCCATCAGTGTCCTGCATCCCTGGTCCCTAAGGATGTCCCCAGGATAATGAACTAGTTGGCCACAGACAGGTGACATAGGTGGAGACTAGTGGTATCACTGAAGAGTCAAGTTTGAACTCCAGGCAAGCTATTTTATTAGCCTGTATCTGTACTTGAATGGGGTTAAGGCACAAATTCCAGGTCACACTGGAACCACACTGTTGGATGAACAATTGCCTCATGGCAGACTTTTGCAAGACAGGGAGGCAGATAAGAAATAGCCCTGTGACAGTGCCCAATATCATCTCATAGCACTCTACCTCACTCACGTTTCAGTCTCAGTGGTCTTTTTATTCTCAGAACATACCAAACTCTCTCCTGCCTCAGGAACCTTATGCTTACTTTTCCCTTTGCTTATACTATGCTTCACCAGGCTTTTTTACCTGGTTGGTTTCTGCTCAAGAATTAGGTCTCAGCTCAAATGTCATCTCATCAGAGAAGACTCCCTTGACCTATCAAAAGTGGTTGCTTCATCCCCAGCTACCCTCCATCCTCTCGTCTATTTCCTAATTGTGATAATGTGGTTTTCTTATTTATGTTTTCTTTTTATTATCTGTTTTTCTCACCACAATGTAAGCAAAAAAGCAGAGATGTTCTAAATCTTTTTATTATGTCCCTAACACCTTACTAGACACAGTAAATTCTCTAATATTTGTTGAATAAGTAAATGTTATTTCTAATTTTTTAAATAAATATATAAAACAAGAAAATGAATATCCTTTTTTTAGCAGTTAAACAAACATTTTCAAGTTTAGCTCCATCCTGCTTCCTAATTCACTCCTTTTTATCTTCATACTAGATTTGGTAAGAATTTTAAGTCAGGACTCAGGGTTATTGCATGTTTATGGAATAAAACTTGTAATAATCAAATAATTTATTATTTTTAAATGTAAAAATGTATTTATTCACAATCCTTGAGAAGTTACCATTCCTTCAAAAAATTCTTTGTGAACAAAATGCCAAGAAAAATTACAATAGTAGCTTATGCCGAACCAAAAATATACATCTGATGTATAGAAACTTTAAAAAGCATTAACACAGGCAATGTGAATATAGATTACGTTTAAAATATTTCCAATGACATAGCTACAACTTAAATTATGTTAAGACAGACATAATAGCATTACTAATATATTTACATATTTAAAGTATCACATTATTCCTATGAGATAAAAAAAGGAGATGACACAGCAGATATCATTGCCTAGCAGTTCACATATTGAAAGGGCCACACGATTTTTCTTTTTAAAGTACAGCAAGAACTTTAAGTTACTATTTATATCTGGACCTTCCTATATTTTTGAGAACATGCACTGTCATTGTTGCAAGAAAAAGAAGAAGAAACAACACTAAGGAAAAATCAAAACAGCAGTTTGTATTACTAAAATCATACTCAATCCTCAATCAAATCAAGACAAGCCATTAGGGAGTGCCTTATATCCTTGGCCTTTTAAATTGATACACAAATTTAGGGAAAAGAAGAGTTAATGGCACATCACAAAATGCAGTTATGTATATCAATAAACTTACTTCCATCCCATTAAAGCACCTTGTATTACAAGGCAAAGGAAAGCTTAATAAAATTAATGGATCCTTTCATATCAGAAAGGACATTATTTACTTTGAAATACCCGTATTACCTTTTAAGGTTTTCTTTTCTTAATAAATCAGGCACAGACAATATGTTCTGTGTAAAATCCTTCTAAGACCATTCATTAGAAATACAGAATTAAAAAAAGTGACACCTAGAAATTTAATATCAATGAACTTAAAGTCAGTATTTATTTATAGTGGCATGTAATTGAAGTGAAAAACCTAAGTATTTGTATTTTCTTACATATCACTTTTGATTATCAACTTTAAGTGTTCAAACTCTGAAAGCTTATTTTAATGTATTATATATTCTTTGTTTAGATTGAATCAATATTTTTATACAGGATATGCAATACATGTAGAAAGAAACTAGTACTTCAGCATTTCTTTAGAGTCATATACTCAGATGAATTGTGCTTACTATTAGGTAAAACAATTTAAATAAGTCATAGAAATAAATAATACTGGAAAAGGGAATACTATTCTAAATCTGAATCTGACAGTTCTTCCTCATGCTCCCTTCACATCTGCTGAGAATTAACGCAAAATGCTGTGATATTTTCAGTTAGCTACTAAAATAAGCTTAAGAAAGCATTCAAGGTAAAATTAATAGAACTATTTTTAAAGTGAAGTACAAATAGTAAATAGGAATGCTATAAAGAAAAATAATTTTGACATGACAGAACCATTAAATTGTTTTTGAAAAGCAGAAGGCAGATGATGAAATTGCACTTAATTCTGAAGCAATTCAGATATAGCCTATCATTCCTATTCCTTTCTAATATGCATTCACATGATTTCTTACCTCCCTCTTACAAAAAGGCTCAGCACAAACATTTATACATTCTAGATGGTTTTTAACATTTGGTCTTAACTGATAAAACAGGGTTCAAATAGTTTTACCCTATCGTTTCTGTTGATCTGCATCTGATTGCTTTATGCCAGAATCATACAGTTCTAATACAGGATTCACAAATCCAGAATACTCAGAATTGCCATTATCATCCATTTCAGCACTAACAAAATCATTCTCCCACTCCAGCCCGTTGGAATCATCAGAGGCTGACGTAGGATTGCTTCCAGTCTTCCTGCTGCTAGCCTTAAGTGCTGCCCGGAGAATGTCTTCCTCTGTTTTGGAACGTTCTCTCATTGGAAGCATTCGATTCATTCCTATTGTTTGGGCAGAGTCATTAGAATTTCAGTGAAGATTAAAAAAGCTATCTTCATGACTTTCTAGTTTAACAATATAGTTTTTATTTAACAATCAGGCTTGGTTTGTGAATTAACTAAGAGTCAGTCCTATGGAGATCTTAAATTGTTGGGGGTCTTAAATCCTAGAGTTGCCTTGGATAAAAAATAAACATTAATAACTCATCAAAGGATAGTTTTGATGTTAACACTGATCATCTAACAAGACGGAATTTCTGAAGAGCCACTAATAAAGCAGACTAGATGGAGGACTACAATTGCCATTAGTCTTACACAGCAAATCAGCGTGTCTGCCAAAGTCCTTTCCTATCCAGATGACAATTTCATTTATCAGAGATAATCAAAGGATAGTTTTGATGTTAACACTGATCATCTAACAAGACGGAATTTCTGAAGAGCCACTAATAAAGCAGACTAGATGGAGGACTACAATTGCCATTAGTCTTACACAGCAAATCAGCGTGTCTGCCAAAGTCCTTTCCTATCCAGATGACAATTTCATTTATCAGAGATAATAGTAGTTCTAATGATAATATTAACAACATACACTTTTCCAGCACATACTAGGTTCCAATTAGTACTGTTTGTACTTTACATATACTTACTGATTTGGTCCTAACAACTCTATGAAATTAAATACAGTTCTATCATTATCCCCCATTCTGAAGTTGAGGAAACTGGGGAAGAAAGAGGAAAGTGATCTGTTTAGGGTCACACAGCTATGGAAGTGGTGCAGCAAGAATGAACCTGTTCAGTCTGGCTCCAAAGTCTGTGCTTGCTCCTCTGCTATTCTGACTCTACCATGAGATATATCATTCTAAGGGAAACTATTCTAGGTCTAATTCTGAACAGAAAGAAATTGGTCAGTTAAGTCACTGTCAAAAATCTGGGAAGAAAAAGAGTCATTTTGGCAGAAGGAAGAGAAGAACAGAAAGGAAACCTGAATTCCTAAGTGTAGAATCAACAGTGGTCATAGAATTAAAAGCTAGGGCTGCCAAAGAAATTCTAACAGAATATTCCCTAGACACATTCAATAATTTTGTTTTCTGACCTTAAAGAATCAGATCCTACAGTAATAGGAGAATTTTAAAATCTGTACCACAGTTATCTGCCACTCTTGAAAAATCACAGATTCAACCCAAAAAAACAAGTTATCCCTATAAAGACCTGAACTGAAAGCCTTTAGAAAAAAATTGAAGAAGATGCTACAATAAAAATAAACTTAAAGTCTGGTGGTTGGGGTCTAAGTAAGCAATAACATAAGAACACGATTGAGGAAACAATGTTTAGCTGAGAAGACAACTTAGGTAGCTTAATGCAATCTTTGGTTAAAAAATTCAGGTGCCCTGAATAGCTGTATCTTTATTTCATATTGAATGTTTATCACCTTTCTTAAAAATTCTCTGTTCTATAATTGGTTCTTCTTTTTTGGATTACCTACTTAAAATGAACATGAAAACTTGAGCCTTACTTAGTGAAACAGTCTTTAAAAAAAAAATCCACATTTTAGCTACAATTTTGAGTACTGGCTTTTTGCCATAACCTGTACTGGGTATTTTAAATAAATTTTATTTAATTCTCACAACATTCATGTATTTATTTGTTCAACTATTTATTGACTACCTATTATGTGCCAGGCATTTTTAGACTGAGTATTTAACAGTGAATAAGCATCCTTGAAAGTAGGTTCATTATTCCCCTTTTATGAACAAACTGTGGCTTAAAGAGATTAAGAAATCTACCTAAAGAATCCTGAGAAGGAGAAATAAAGTTGGGGGAATTATGTTCCCCAACTTCAAGCTCTACTACAAAGCCACAGTGATCAACACAATTTGGTACTGGCACAAGAAAAGAATCATGGCCCAATGGAATAGACTAGAGAGTCCAGATATAAACCCAAGCAGACATGGTCAGTTAATAAACAATAAAGGAGCCATGGACATACAATGGGGAAATGACAGCCTCTTCAACATCTGGTGTTGGCAAAACTGGACAGCTACACGTAAGAGAATGAAACTAACCCCATACACAAAAGCAAACTCAAAATGCATCAAAGACCTGAATGTAAGTCATGAAACCATAAAACCTGGAGAAGAAAACACAGGCAAAAATCTCATGAATATAAACATAAGCACTTTTTCCTGAATGCATCTCCTCAGGCAAGGGAAACAAAAGCAAGAATGAACAAATGGGACTATATCAAGCTAAAAAGCTTCTGTACAGCAAAGGACAGCATCAGCAGAACAAAAAGGCATCCTACAGTATGGGAGAATATATTTGTAAATGACATATTTGACAAGGGGTTAACATCCAAAATACATAAAGAACTCCAATGCCTTTACAACCAAAAAGCAAATAACCCGATTAAAAAATGGGCAGAAGATATGAACAGAATTCTCCAAAGAAGAAATTCAGATGGCCAACAGGCATATGAAAAGATGCTCCATATCACTAATTATCAGGGTAATGCAAATGAAAACCACAGTGAGGTATCACCTCACACCAGTTAGGATGGTCAACATAGAAAAGTCTAGGAACAACAAATGCTGGCGAGGATGCAGAGAAAGGGAATCCTCCTACACTGCTGGTGGGAATGTAAACTAGTTCAACCATTGTGGAAAGCAATATGGAGGTTCTCAAAAAACTAAAATACAAATACCATTTGATCCGGGAATTCCACGCGTAGGAATTTACCCAAAGAATACACGTTCTCAGATTTAAAAAGACATATGCACCCCTATGTTTATTGCCACACTATTTACAATAGCCAAGATATGGAAGCAACCTAAATATCCATCAGTAGATGAACGGATAAAGGAGATGTGGCACATATACACAATGGAATACTAATCAGCCATTAAAAAGAAACAAACCCTACTAATTACAACAACCTGGATGGAGTTGGAGGGTATTATGCTCAGTGAAATAAGCCAGGCAGAGAAAGAAAAGTACCAAATGATTTCCCTCATTTGTGGAGTATAACAATGAAGCAAAACTGAAGGAACAAAACAGCAGCAGAATCACAAATTCCAAGAAGGGACTAGTGGCTACCAAAGGGGAGGGAAGAGGTAGGGTGGGGGGAGGGACGGAGAAGGGATTGAGGGGTATTACATGGTGTGGTGGGGGAGGATCATGGGGAAGACAGTGTAGCACAGAGAAGACAAGTAGTGACTCTGTGGCATCTTACTACACTGATGGACAGTGACTGCAATGGGGTATGTGGTGGTGGGGACTCGGTAATATGAGTGAATGTTTTAACCACATTGTTTTTCATGTGAAACCTTTGTAAGAGCATATATCAATAATACCTTAATAAAAAATAATTGTTAAAAATAAATAAATAAATAATAAAAAAGAAATTTACCTAAAGTAGTACAGGTAGGAAGATATACCAGCTAAAATGCAAACTCATGTCAGTTATATATAGCTTCTGTACTAACAAAAAACCTAAGAAATTACTAATTTATAATGAACCAAAAGTTAATTAAATTTTGACTTCAGGTTGCCCACAATGGGGCAGTAATTCTTATTGAATGCTGTCATGGGCTGGATAACAAAAATTTTTAAATGAGAAATTAACATTTCTAAATCTCAAGAAACATTAAGAATTAAGCAACTTTCTAAGCAATTTATCAACAAATGGCAATCACTGATACAGTAATAGTGGAAGACATTTTTATAGTGATTTTTCAAGGCCTTGCATTTGTTTCAGTTCAGATAAAATACCAAGTTGATTTCTATAAATTAACAGATATTATATTAAAATTTTTAAGTCAAATATAAAATACCTTCTTCATCTTCCCATTCTAGATCTAAGGATGTGCTGTCATCATTTCCACTAGTTGATTTAGTTTTGGTCATTAAATCACAACTGCTTTCTGTATTTGGTGTCAAAACTGTAGCATCTGATGAGAGTCCTAAAATATACACCAAATATAACTGAATGTGGCCATCTGTACTTTTACCACAACCATTTATTATGCATTAAATGGCTCTCTTCAAATTATACTGTTTCTTTTAGTGTCATAAGAAATAAGTATTGAAATCATTACATTGGTAAGTTTCTGTTAAACAGTATAAAGGGCCTTTTCCCCTTTAATTAATTAATTTTTTGTCATCTAGCACTTGCTAACTTGAATTATAAACTTGTTAAGTGTGATGAATTCTAAGTAAAATTTTTAATAGTCAATTACAAAGGGGGACAAAAAAAGAACAACAAAAAACAATAAAGGAAATGAAAAGCAATCTATATTTTCCTAAGGAACCACTTACTATGCTTCCATAGTAAGAATAGAAGTTTTGACTTTTGAAATTTAGAGAAAAACATTTCACACTTATAAATCAACTTGAAATAAGTAAAACAAGTATACTTTTCTTCTACTTCCTCCCACCTTTCCTTTTTCTAGGAGGGGGAAAGACAGAATCAGAGTAGGAATGAAAAAAGGGAGTGCTTGACTCCCTACATGGATCTATAGAAATGTCTTAAGGGTTATCTTTGCTCTAATTCCTCTTAAAAAAGGAAAGATAAAATTGAGGAATTAAGGACTAGTTAACTGACCTATCTGGGCAATATAAATTGAAGGGAAGAGCAGAAGTTCTTCTACACAAACAAAGCCAGGGTCTCCAATTATCTGCTTAATGTGATATAAACTTAAAACATACACAGGTATTTTAAAAGACTTACTACTACTTCGGAAAACTTCATATTGTGACTTTATATTTCTCAAACAAGATTCAAAGTCGTCTTCTGGTCCTGAACTGTAATACAAGTGAAGTAATTTTTCAAACATATTCATAGTAGACTCAACATAATGCATGCTTAAGTTAATGATAGCATTCTTTTTTTAAGAATATCACTGTACTTATTTTCATATAGTAGTTTTAAAAATATGAAATGCTTTATGAAATTGTGTGTCATCCTCACACAGGGGCCATCCTAATCTTCTCTGTATAGTTCCAACTTTACAACATGTGGGGCTGAAGCACGTATTGATGATGGCATTTTGGTCTTATGGTCTATCCAACACAAATTCATAATTACTGTGTACAACTGGAATAACCGAATGAAAATAGGTGTTAATTTTCTTAATGTTTCTTAGCAATAAATGAAATGCTAACATTGCTAACATTTAGCAATAAATGAAAATACTAAGATTTTAATTAATCTCAAAGTCGAATCTCCAAAGCTGAGCCCTAAGTCCATCTTCATAATTTACAGTAATAAAGCATGAGCAAGGTTGAGTAGGAAATATTCATGGATATGTGACCTTGAAATGTGCCTTCCTAAAACATCACAAATAAACTTTATTATAAAAAAAGAGACATGCTAAGAAAAACACAAACAACCAAGGCAGAAGCAATTTATACAAAGGCATTCAGTATGCTATTGCATCGTTTTCTTTTTGGAACATGTGACCACTCTTAAAAATGCAATTTAAAGAAATGTCAATTTATTAAATAAAAGTCAATTTAAATAAATGATGAACACTTCCTAACTTAAAGCAAATGTTCTCAGTATTCTTACAAGACAGTGTCTTTGAGAAGCAATACTTTTTTAGGGAACACATAACATAAATATGTACAAGCACGCAGAGGGGAGCTGTATTCTCTTTGAAAGCAACACTTTCTACTATAAAAGGAAGAAGTATGATTCACTATTTACCTTTGATATTCTCCACTATTTGAAGGATGGTACCGCTGTACAACTCTCTGCCTTTCTTGCTTTGGAAACATAATGAAATACAAAATTATTCTGTTGCAAAATTATACTTTTAAAAACCATTCATGCAACACCAAAAAGTATTTCTTCCTAGTCCCTAAAAAATCCAAAAACTTGAAAAAGCTATTCTATTGAAGTCTTTTTCTTTAAATTCATCACTTTTTACTTCTATATCCTTTTATTTATGTGTAGAATTTCTCTCGAATTTCCAATGTGTAATTCCTAAGAGGTCAGAATATTCAGTTACTAAAAAATAATTGTCAAAACAGATTTATATTGATGTACTCATCATTCTTACTACACCTAACAACTTCTAATAACTAGAAGGATGAGGCGCAAGAAAGGCATAGTTCAAAATAGTACATGATGTTCTATTCTGGGTGAAATAAGTAGCAATAAAACAAAAGATCTAGAAGACCTGGCTGAGCTGACTGAGAAATAATAAAAACAAATGATTCAGAGGACCTGTCAGAGTTGTGGCTATGAGAGTTCTTAGCTGTATATTTCTGGCATGTCCCTTACTTTCTGTTTCTTTATCTGTAGATTACAGATGGCTCTAACACTGTCCTAGCAAACTTGTAGGGCCATTGTGAAAAGCAAGTAAACTTGCATGTGTCTGAGTATCACTGTGTGTCAGGGTATGCTATATAGACTGTTATGTGTTCCTATATCCAAATTTAGTCGGGGAAGAAAAACTCTGAGAACACTGGAAAAACCAAACAGATGCTGCATATAGGACCCTTTTAAGTCTTTAAAAGGCAAGTGGCAGAGAATTTATTATACTAAAAAGACTTGTCTAAATTTTAACCAGAAAAGTACTTCTGTATCTTAGTAAAAAGTTAACTTTTAAACTTTCCCACCATTTAGAACTTACAAAAAAGGACAACTCTCCTGTATAATCTGATTAATCTGTTGAAACATACACACACACACACACACACACACACACACACACACACACGAGAGAGAGAGACAGAGAAAGAGAGGGAGAGGGAGATATTGAGAGAGAAATGGGCACAGGTCACAGAAATTAGCAACATAATACACGATTTTTCAGTTTCTCTAAATTATAATATTATGTGACATAGTCTTTGTACTACTTCAATTAACACTATGGTAGAGAGTTCATACAGGCAAAATATGGAAGAAGATACTAAATAGGATACTGGCTAAGCACTGCTGTGCTTTAACTCTGGCTCTGAGATTTCCTAGCTGTACAATCTCAATCAAGTTACTTAACATCTCTGTTCCTTGGTTTCACCATCTATAAAATGGGGATTAAAAACACCGCCTATCTCATAGGACTGTTCTGAGGATTAAACAAGGTAAAACATGTAAACTACTTAGAACAGCTACTGACACTTAGCCAGGACTCCATAAATACCCGTCATTAATAGCTGTCTGGCATTATGGTACTGCTATATTAGCATATGGAATGTTAAGATATGATAGATCTGTTTGCCTTCTCTGATGATATGCCAAAGATTTCCCAAGACCCAAACTCCCTACTTCCCAAAGAAACAAGAATTAAGATGAGAAACATACAATATTCCTGTAAGGCAAAATCATCCAGCTTACTCAATTCTAGACATGCAAGAAATTCTAGTAGTTCAAGGAACTGTTTTTTAAAAAAATCATAAAAATAAACTAAGAAATGTTGTGTAAATTATGCTTAAAGGCTAGTTTTGCAATGTTTCCATCTAAGAGTTTTATTTATTTTTCAAAAGAATAGCGGATTTTGGAAAATTAAATTTCATCTTTGGGATAAACAAGAATTAGCCTGTGCTAATTTAAAGTTAAACAGTATTCAGTATCAGGCATATAATCTGATATTATTTCTAGCTGCTAAAGACCAACTAATTTGCCCTTAAAATTCCTAAGAAAATATGTGTAAATACACTTGTTGTTAAACAAGAAGCCCTTGATTCTAGGGGATTAAAAAGTCCCAACTTATGACCTGTCAGAGAAAATCTGGAAAAAAGCAACCCTAATGTATGTTGGGGTCCTTTCCCCTCACCTCCAAGAGCTTTCGCTGCTTTGCTGCCCTGGCTGCTTCACGCTGTGCAGCGTATAAAGCTTCTTCTTCTAGTCTTAACTTCTCTTCTTGTAAGGCTAACTGTACATGAACAAAACAGTAAGGATTAACAAAAATCAGAACCTGTCTAACTGCTCTAAAAATAAAATGTTTCTACTTATAAAATTAAAAATAAATTATTAAAAAAAAGAATTGATCTCTGAAGCATGATGAAATTGAAATTTTTGTAAGTTCTCATTTGTTTCTTTTACAAAATAATTCACATGACATCAAACATATTACAGAATTCTTTACAAGTTGAATTATGAAGTAGTACCATCTAACTTGCATAAATACAAGTTTGTTTCTTTCATTAGATTATCCAACGACCTTCATTCTTTAATAATTGTTCTGATGCCTGTTCAGCCTGATTAGTTTAATGGTTTTGGCCTTTGTTAAGTCTAAGGTCTTTAAAACTAAGGCCAATCATATCTTTGTCTACCAAAGAGAAGTAGGCTTTTACAAAGTTAATGTCTCACTGATGCACATATACCCTGAATTTTATTACTATCAAGCTATACAAAAATTACTTTCAAACTTAAGTTCTTGCCACTCATAATAGCATACATACAAACTGCTTGAGTGATAATATACTGCATATCAAATAAAACTTAAAAATCAGTTTCAACACTTTTTTCTTTAGCCTAATATTAGCATCTATCCTACTGTTTAGCTTAAGCTAATGTTGTTGAAATCACTAATTGTTACTAAACAGACCATTTTTTAATGTATAATGGATAAGACTAATTCCATTTAGTTTAGTGAATAACAAAACTATAATTACAGGCTATTTCCATAAATACATTAAAATAAATATAGCATATGTGATCATTCAAAGTACTTGGTTCACTTATTAAGAAAAAATAAACCCAAGAAAAACAAAAAGACTTAAAAAAAACTTACTGTGAAACAGAGTAATTTTTAAAGTTGGTTTTAAACACAAAGGTATAGGTATCTTGTTGGAGTCTCTACTTGTGAATTAAAAAATTATTTTTAGAAGAGTTTATTACTCTTCCTTTCTTGACAGTATATAATTCTGATAAATTAAACCAAACTAAAATTATAATAGGCTGGAATAATTTTTTTACATTTAAATTATTTTTATTTGTGTGTGTGTGTGTGTGTGTGTATATATATATATAGGCTCAATAACTGTTCACATGCAATATATTATTTAACAATTTTCCCTTAAAAACAGAGGCTTCATGATAACATATATGTGAACAACATAAAATACTATTTACCTCTTTTTGAATTTTCTTATCAAGATCTTTTTGTTTTTCAGCAATAGAATCATAATGCCTTTCCCTTAGGTCAACAATTTCTTCCTCAGTAAGGGGCCTACAGAGAAAAATGAGGGGAAAAAAGAAAGAAAGATGACTTCCAATGAGTCTGAGTCCAAATAAAACACTCATAAAACCAGTGAAATTTGTAAAACTTACTGTTGAAAATGCATTAAAGCAATCTAATGCTAATATATCAATTTTTAAGAGAGAAAAGCATACATTCTGGCACTTGCTATAATTTGGTATACAAACTGAATAAGATGATAAATTATTAGAGTATTTTTTTTAGCACTGCAACCATCTTTTATGGTATGTGGAATCCATTTACCTCCACTTTGGCTCTGCTTCAGCCATCTAACCATATTCTCAGTGTTCATCATAAAATAATAAACTTCAGTAAGCTACACCCTGATATCAGCTCTCATACCATTATGGGACTCTTAACTCTCATTCCCATTACCCTCTTTGTGCTCAATCACTGTTGCCACCCCTTGATCCTTCCCTTTTCTCCCTGTGTATCCTAATCATCCCCTGGCCTCACTTCTTTTAGAACCAATGTGATCACCATGGCAAATTTGAAGTCCTTTCTTACCAACTTACTCACCTTCTTGCACTCTTATCACTGTGTCTTAATCACCCAGCTTATTCACTCTCTGACCTCAGGTCATTCCATATTAGCCCTTTCTGCTGACAGCTGCTGGAGAATACCCAACATGTATTTGGCTTACAGTGCCTGGCAATAACCCTTTACTTATACGTGGTCAGTTCCTCTTACATCCTATGCTAACTAGTTCAAAATCTTGACACACTCCTTAAGTTCCTTATTCAAACTCTTTTTCTCTCAGAAGTCAATCTGACCTCACTTTACGACATGGGGAGTATCAACCATCAATTCCTTCAACTTCTTGCTACTCTTCTTCTTACTTAAGCCTATGTTCCCTATTATTCCCTTCATCCTCTAAAGAGGTGGCATTCCTTAACTTGTTCAAGGTCACCTGCCACACTTACACTCTTGATTCATTCACCACCGATGCTGCCCCCTCCTCCACTCCAGAGAATTCCCTGCAACACTGCTCCATCAATTAGCATCTCTCTTTCATCTTTATCCTACTCTTTTTGTCTTCATTTCTCTTCCATGTGAAAGAAAGGGTAAAAAAGAAAGGAAAGAAAGAAGGGAAGAAGGAAAAACTTTCATTTGACCTATAGTTATCTCTAGCTAATGTTCTCTCTCCTTCCCATTTCAGCCAAAATTCCTGAAATTAATGTCTATCATTATTGTATCTACACTTACTATGTGTCAGGCTCTCTTCTATGTGTTTTATATATATATTAACTAATTTTAATCCTCACAATCCCATGAGGTAGATATAGAGATCATACATATGAAGGAAATGAGGCAAAGACAGATTATGTCCAAATAAGTCACATAATTATGTGGCAAAGCTAGATTTGAACCCAAGTGGTCTAGCTCTTTGCTCTTCACTACTGTTCCTCTTTTACCTTCTATGTCCTTACCTCCCATTCTCTTATCAGCTCACAACAATCTACCTCTTCTTTTATTACTCTAATAACTCTACCAAAGGTAAACACTGGCTTCTATGTTGCCAGATATAATGGACAGTTTTAAATCCTTACTGCTTCAATTTCATGTGCTCCCATCCATCTGCCAATCTGTCTACCCTCTCCCTTGGCTTGCCATGCTTTCCTGGTTCTTCTTTTTACCCACTGCTTTTCGTTGTCTTCAGACTCCTCCTCTAGTGTCTGCCTATTCATCCTCAGACTGGAGCTCTCTCTCCATGCTCCAATCTACCTTCTTCTTCCTCTTTCCCAAACTCAAGTAGGTGATCGTGATAATTATCATGGTTTTAACCAATCATGGCCATGTATGAGGTAATGTCGCCTATTTCTCTCCCTCTGTCCTGAACTTCTGCCTACAGCCTTTTAGTTTTTTGTTTTTGAGTTATAGCGTATGTGAAATACAACGTTTAAGTGTTTAAGTTCATTAAGTTTGACAGCTGTATACACTCACGGAACTGCCACCCAAGGCAGGATACAAAGCATTTCCATCACCTCACAAAGTTCCCCCACGCTACTCATGTGGTTTTTTTCTGTCTCTAAATGCTCTCCACCCCTGGACAGTTATCACTAATCAAACCTTCAAGGATCAACCAGGTGTCATCCCCTTAAAGAAGTCTACCTGGACACACCTTCTCTCACAGATTTTAGGCCAAGGATCTCTCCTCCAATTTTCCTTGCAAGTTTATACTACTACTTAATTTCCTCTCCTATTTCTTATTGAAACTAGTCATCTCCACAAACTATCTCCCACACCAAGATAATCTTTCTTCCAGAGTAGAGAACCATGTCTGATTTTTTAATCCCAGTGTCCAGCCCAGTGCCTGGCCATATGATAGTTGCTTGATAAATGTTTGCAAAAGATAAAGAACATACGTTCAAATATGAAACAGTATATGAAAACATTCTCTTATATTAAGAACTCATGTGTTAAAGACAGGTGATCCTTTTTTCAAGTAGCTCATGTAATTTTAAGAATAAAAAGAGGCTTCTTAAACTAGAGTAACAAGGCTCTAATCACTATTGAAAGATACAAAAAACATGTTTGGTTAAACAAGTTTTATAATGTCATAAGGAAAAGGGGTATAAAGTTTAAAAATTCAAGGGAAAGTATCAATATTAAATTTTTCTTAAAAACTAAAATACATATAACAGGTTCAATCAGAAAGCACACAGATATTAATGTATGTTATATTCTTTAAGGTTTAAAACAAGCTTTTGAGATTTTTTATTTACTTCAATCTTATATAAAGAGAAAACTAAGGTACCTGAAATGTAAACTGCTCAAAGCCTCAAAGCAAGCAAATGACAGAGCCTGGACTCTTAAGAGAGCTTTTTATAGTTCACAAAGAAAATTTTTTATTAAAAAAAGAAAAAGAAAAAAAAGCCTTACCTATGACTGCTTCCTGGGCTTTCCCCCTGTATAAAAATTAATGAAACAATTAAAGAAATTGTTTATATTTGATTCACTGGCTGAGTTCTATTTAAGGTAAGCCAATATAATTTTTACTTAGTCAAAATATTTTGCTTACTTTGGTCATAGTAAACAAATTTCATTATTTAAAGTGTATTAAACAAAAAGCTTTAGCATTTTACTATTTCTCAAAGGCAAATTTTAGTATCTAGCTTAGTCATACAGCAACCAATTGGGGACATTTCTTAAATTTTTCTAACAAATATTTATTTATATCAAATGAACTTCTGGGGTCAGGCTAAGAGAGGAAAAAACTGTTTATCAAAAATAAAAACAAGTAAAAAACTCAACCAAACAAAAAGCACCTTAAGAAAACACATGGAACCACAAATTATTTTAAAAAGCACTATGATGCTTGGGATGAACTATATTGAAAGCTGAAAGAACTCTGACATAGAACATTTCTCAGAAACTTGAAAAATATATTAAGTGTTTGCTTGCACTTGTTTTAGAAAATACATAGAATTTAAATGACCTTTGAAAAGATTAAGAAATTAGGTTCTATGAGACAGTAAAATACTTGGGAGACATTTTACTAGGAAAATAAAAACCTAAGAGTTTCCCCAAATGTGTCCTACCAGATGATAATATGTATTATTATTTTTAAACAGAATTTATACCCAAATTAATATGGGAAATGCCAATTTGAATAAGTTTAAATAACTTTCCTAACAGTTCTTACCAGAACCTTTAATATGTTAATTTACATGGAGACTAGTATTTTGTACATCTGTGGGAAATGTCAGGCTAAAGAATAACTTAAATTTTGTTTGATGCATTTTATTCTTTCCTTAGAAAACAAAAAATGACAAAAGGTCAGAACTTGCAGTGCTCTTCTAGTCTAACTCCTTTTAGAGATGTGAAAAGTAGGCCCAAGGAAGTTTAATTTGCACAAACTTATAAATTTAGTCAAGCTGGAAATTAACTTACAAACTGAAACTCTTCTAACTATACCAGTGCATAAGAAATATATGCCACATTTCACTAATTCTAAATTTTTCTTTTCTTTTATAATTTAACATTTCTGTACTTGGGGTGCATCTTAAACCTGAATTTTAGATGAGATGAAATGCAAAAAGTCAACAAAAAGAATGACTGATAAAAAAGATAATGCCTAAAGTCAGGAGATAACTATAGAATGAACATGTATAAATTCACATGTTCACCTCAGAAACCTATGAAAACTATAGCTTAAGAATGGGCCTACTCTGGATTGTTGAGGAACTTTACCTATCTAATGGCAAGAGGGTAGAAATACTCCCTTTTTAAAATTCCTCAAGTTCTATAAAATGCTTTAAAAATCTTTTTTTACTTACATATATACACCTGATAAAGTAGAAAATTCTGAATTATTTGCTAAAATTAGTTAAAAAAACAAAATAAGGCACTAAAAAGTATAAAGATAAGAACCAAAAAATAAGGACTCTAAAATATGAAGATTTAAAAAAATAATATTGTTAGAACTAATGAGATGACTAATGAGAACAAACACAGGTTTTGTAGAATTGTGGTAATACTTACTTCATCACTTTCTACTAGATTCTCAAACTGAAAGAACAAGAAAGTAAGTGTTAGCAGGGATATGTCTAAGGTAACATACTGTCCAAAAATTCAGAAGTCACTTTTTTGCTTCAAAAACAACATTAACTTAGTATTTTTAAGATACTTAGGTCATGTGTCTTTTTATACACCAGTTCACTGGATATACTCAACAGGCTACCCTACAAGATAGCCAAGACCAGAATACACTATTTATGACTTAGATGAAAAAGAAAAAGGATAATTACAGCAATTTTTCACATAGATCAGAAACTTTCCCTGAACTGAGTATTTCATATGGATTTTTGAAACCCATACTACCAGAATTTTCAACTTCATTTGAGTTCATAACATTATTTAATGCCACAAGAAGGAAAATTACTCATGAAACAGGGACTTTAGATACCCACATAAGAATTTCTCTTATGTTTATATTTATTATCTGTTATTCACATAACTATTTACTGAACATCTACTATATGGTAGTCACTACTTACAAATAATGCCTTTCTAGAGACAGGACTACAAATAGTTTGATAATAATGTGATGAACACTATCATGTTAAATGACTGAATGAAAGTCACTTGACTAAATTATATTATGAAAACATTTGTATTTTAAATATAATTAAAAAAATAACCACTTAAAGTATTTTATTATTAATATTATTTAAAGATTAAGAAAACAATGAATTCAAAGATTAGAAAATATAAGAATGTAAAGAGATGACTTAAAACTATTTAAAATTATTATCTCGAGCTTATATTTTGTATTGGTTTGTGATGAAAAAAAAATTCCTGGTTTACATGCTTCCTTATTTAATATAAAAGGCAGTGAAGTATAGCATTCAAGCTTTGAAGCCGGGCAGTTTGGACCAGATTTAGGTTCTGCCACTTACATGTTGTGAAAGAGAGCCCAGTTTCTTCACCTGTCTAACTCTGATTCTCACCCATAAAATGGGGAGACTGCCACCTGTTTAACAGAATTCTAGTAAGAATTATGTGCAACAACATTCATAACCTGCACGGTGCAGTAACTAGTACATAGTAGGGACCAAGTGGATTCTATCATAGTTTTATATACAAAGAATAAGCAACTCTGTGATTTATACTGTGGAGTTGCTTAAAATCAACTTGCTTCTTTGATTCTGCTACATCTCTCTACTAGGGCAGGCCAGCCACCTGTCCCTAGAATCACTGCCTACTAAGCCACTATAGCTGATAGAAGAGTACCTTCTCCCTGAGTTGTATAAGGTGGAAAAAGACAAAATAAGAAACTAAAAAACACCACTTCTTAAGCAGGACCTTAATCTTCTGTAAACTTCTCCCTCTACCACTCTAATTCTTTTCTTCTTCATGAGTATCAGTTGAAATACAAGTATTCTATACTAAATTTAGGACTAGTCCTTTCCCCTTAAACAAAAAAGTCCCTCTTGCCCTCCAGCAGGTACTTTTATCTAACCAGATTTATGGCTCTACTTACCTCTATAGTTAGGTGCTCACCTCTTGAGCATGTTCTAAAATACTTGGATCTAGGAAGAAAAAGAAAAACAACTTTAAAAATAACCAGTTATTTTTAAATAACTAAAACTGAGTTAATATAGTAGCATAAAAACATTTTCTCAAGGGCAACTTTAAATTCTCTTACAGTATCCTCTTTTTAAAAAAAGAAACCACCAAATTTACTAAAGAATATTAAGTAGTCCAGATTTTTAAACTCAGTTATGAGTTTTAGAGTGCTTAGTCAACAAATAATTTTCTATGGGCAGCACTATTTACTAAGCCTTTAGAGGTAAGTTTACTATATAGAACAGAACACAATTAAGTTAAAAAATTTATCTCATTTTTTTACTGTATTAAGAAAAATATTAAAATACTGATGTGTTAAATAATATATGAGTACATTCCAATTTTCTTAAACATATGCAAAACAACAAAAATCTAAAAGGATACATGCCAATATACTAAGAGTGGCAATCTCTGGATGGTGGGATCATATATATTTACACAAAGCTAGGTGCTTTTTATTTTCTTTTCATGCCTGCACATAAAAAGAAAAATAATGAACATTTATCAAACACAAAATTAATTATATTAATTTTTTCCAACCAGGGTCAAACACTGACTTTAATTTCTCTCCACAACGCACACTTTAAATATCTTATAATTTTGTCAATTATATCTCAATAAAGCAGAAATAACAAAATTTAATCACCTTCTGTTCCGACTGGTGAAACAAGAAATCAAGTAAGCATCTCCTTTGTTATAGCTGTTCCAATGATATGTCCACACTCTATTAAATATATCCTCTATTAACATTATGAAAGCTGGTATAGAACACAGACAGTCAAACTCCTTTACTATTGAAGTGCCAGGAGATTAAAAGACTTTAATTCATAATGCGGTTCCTCTTATAACTGCATAAATTGATAGAGGAGAGGACTCCCAATCCTCCCATGGGGATCTTAAATTAGACTGAGGGTGTGTCAGGAATCTTGAACAGAAAGCATCCCTTCAAGAGAGGGAAGAATTCTGAGACTAGCCCAGGTCAGAATGCCTTTTCTATGTGTGTATGTGTGTGTAGGCAGACAGGTTTGTGAAAGAGAATGCTATATTATCATGACTAAATATTTATTATCACAAAGAATTAAAAAAGCAATGAACTTGAGAGGCGGAGCCAAGATGGCGGCGTGAGTAGAGCAGTGGAAATCTCCTCCCAAAAACACATAGAGTAATGAAAATATAACAAACAAAACTCTTCCTAAAATAGAGACCAGAGGACACAGGACAACATCCAGACCACATCCACACATGCAAGAACCCAGCACCTTGCGAAGGGGGTAAGATACAAGCCCCGGCCCGGTGGGACACGAGCACCCCTCCCCCCGGCTCCCGGTGGGTGGAAAGAAACTGGAGCGGGTTTTTTTTTTTTTTTTTT